TCTTCCTTGTGCCCGTCCCCAGGCTGGTTCGGAGAGAGACCTTTGCCATGGGGCCAGCGACTGTTCTCTTCCTCCTCCTCACGCTCGGCGCCTCGGAGGCCAAGCGCGCGGCAGGTAAGAGCAGCCCTGTGCGCGGGGCAGCCAGGGAAGGGGAAAAACCCCTCTTGGGGACGGTGTAGGCAGCTGGAACTGTGCGCGGTGGCGAAGAGCTCCGGAGCGTTCCATGAACGGAAACTTTTCAACCTGAGCATCAGTTGGTTGGGAACAGGAAACTCTCTGGTGTAGAATTTGTGTAACCTTTGGCAGTAGGAACACCGAGTCACCGGGAGTTGAGCGGGTAGTTTGTCCACCTCTGTGTCAGGCAAAGAGGGAACATGATGTAGGAACTGTCTGAAGAAGACTGGGGCCATAGACTGCCGTCATGGTGCTATAGAGAGTCTTGCTGTCACCCGGCCGGACTAAGCAGGCTCGCTTTGCTGTATCCTAGCAAGGGAATATCGCAGCCTGGGCTTCTGCCACCTATTTCTCCTCTGCTAGAGTCTAACGAGGTGCCAGAACGGCTGCTACGTCTGCGTGTCAGTCAGCAGGTACCTGGCACCCCCGTGCCGACTGGCTCCTGCACAAGAATGCACACGCGCGGCCGCACACCAGCTCCTGGTGAGAGTGCCGCAGCATCGGAGCGGCTGTCTGTGCCCTGACAGGAGTCAGGCGCTGTGCCTGGCTCAACGGGCACCGCGAGCCAATACACTAAGCAGTCCTGGGAGACAGGCACCTACTCAGTCTCCTCTTGCCCCTTGCTCATGATACTTGTTCTGATCTCTCTACAGAGTCCAGGAGCGATGATAACAGTGTCTTTGATCTCTTTGAACTCATCGGCTTCATTCGGAAGGGAGCTGGGCGCCGGGCACCCGGGGTGCACCTGGTGAAGGGACCAGAATCCTCCAGCCCTGCTTACCGCATTGAAGATGCCAGTCGCATCCCTGCTGTCCCTGACTCCAAGTTCCAAGACTTACTCGATGCCATCCATGCTGAGAAGGGCTTCATCCTCCTGGCCACTCTCCGGCAAGCCAAGAAGAGTAGAGGCACGTTGCTGTCTGTGGAACAGAAAGATGGCTCCGGTCATGTCTTCAGCCTAGTGTCAAATGGCAAGGCGGGCACCCTGGACCTGAGCCTTTCTGGTGATGGCAAGCAGCAGTTAGTGTCAGTGGAGGATGCCTTGCTGGCTACAGGACATTGGAAGAACATCACCCTGTTTGTGCAGGAGGACCGGGCTCAGCTCTACGTGGGGTGTGAGAAAATGGAGAATGCTGAACTGGACATCCCCATCCAGAACATCTTCACTAGGGACCTGGCCAGCAGTGCCAGGCTCCGTATTGCCAAAGGGGGAGTCAATGACAACTTCCAGGTAAGAGTTCCACTTGTGGTTTTGCTCAGTTATTTTCAGTCATCTGCCTTGAAGGTGCATGACGAGGTAAACCAGCCTAAATAGCTACAAAGACATGGGTAATGGGGAGAAAGGGTTCCACCGCTGACTAGTTTGTGTACATCTGATATGGACCACCTTGAAATCTGCTGAACTTTAATGATGGAGTTTGAAGGGTAAAGCATTAGATTTGCAGGGACAGAACTTCCTGCAGCAGTAAGAAGGCACTGAGGCTTCCAAACAGGTAGTTATAGCTTCACTGCAAGGCTTCTTACACGAGATGCAGAAACTCAGGGTTTTTTTCTTTCCTGCCTGGAGAGTTGCCAGGTCCTTGTGACCAAGGATGGGAATGTTAGGAAGCAGGGCTTGTTATCATTAAGTAAAATGAAGATAACTTTCATTTCTCATTAAAGCAATGTGTTCCACTTTGCCATCTGTCTGTCATGAAATTGCTCTTGATCTTAAATGACCTTAAATGCCTACATGCTCTCTCCGTGCAGTTGCCACAAGTAGCTGTAATTCTTCCTCTCTCCACAGGGACTGCTGCAGAATGTGCGGTTCGTGTTTGGAACAACTCTAGAAACTATCCTGAGGAACAAAGGCTGCTCGAGCTGTAAGTTTGCGATCTTCCAAACCCAATGACCTATTAAAAATAAGATTCCTCATTACGTTAGAAAGACAAGTTGAAACAGAACTCAGAAGTATGCTGGCACTGCAAATCCATGTTGCATAAGAAATAAGATTACATTTCTGCAGGCACCCTAACGAATCTGGTGGCAGCTGTTTAGCAGGTGTTACCCTGGAATGAAAAATGCACGTGGTAAAAAATGCATTTACTTTATGTGTGTTGGTTTTTTTTTTTTCTCTTAGCCACTAGTGCAATCATTACTTTGGACAACCCCATCAATGGTTCCAGCCCAGCTATCCGCACTAATTACATTGGCCATAAAACAAAGGACATCCAAGCAGTCTGTGGTTTTTCCTGTGATGAACTAACAAATATGTTTGTGGAACTGCAAGGGCTCCGGTCCATGGTAACAACGCTCCAAGACAGAGTTCGCAAAGTGGTGAGTGTGTGTTAAATTCATGGTACCTTGCATTAACTGGCACTTAGCGAATGAATTATAACCTGCCCTTTGAGAGCGTGGATAAGCAGTAATGACTTTTATAACTTTTGTGGGAAAGGGTGTTTTCTGTATTAACTTCTAAGTATCCTCTCTCTACCTCTCTTCCCCTGCTGACCCACCTCATTCCCCCAAGACTGAAGAAAATGAACTCATTGCCAAAGTGGTGCAGATCACTCCTGGAGTGTGCATTCATAATGGAATCTTGCACAAAAATAAAGAAGAGTGGACTATTGACAGCTGCACTGAATGTACCTGCCAGGTAAGATTCCTCACATTCAGAAATCCTCTGTATGTAACCTAATGAGTTGAAATTAACGCATATCTCTAAATGACATTCTTTCTAG